ATCTGGAGATTGCATGTTCTGAGAACCGTTGAGCCACTTCTTAAATGCTCTTGTCCCCAAGTTCACCTTTTCTGCAGGAAGGTCGCTGATCAGGAGATTGAAGGTTTTAAGAAGCGTGGTGCTATATCTTAATTGCTGTAGTTCCGAGGTTCACCTTTCCGGAAGCAAGGTCTCTCATCTGGAGATTGCAGGTACTGAGAACCGTTGAGCCACTTCTTAAATGCTCTTGTCCCCAGGTTCACCTTTTCTGCAGGAAGGTCGCTGATCAGGAGATTGAAGGTTTTAAAAAGCGTGGTGCAATATCTTAATTGCTGTAGTTCCGAGGTTCACCTTTCCGGAAGCAAGGTCTCTCATCTGGAGATTGCATGTTCTGAGAACCGTTGAGCCACTTCTTAAATGCTCTTGTCCGCATGTTCACCTTTTCTGCAGGAAGGTCGCTGATCAGGAGATTGAAGGCTTTAAGAAGCGTGGAGCCACATCTTAATTGCTCTAGTTCCGAGGTTCACCTTTCCCGGAGCATGTTCTCTCATCTGGACACTGCAGGTTCTGAGAACCGATGAGCCACTTCTTAAATGCTCTTGTCCCCAGGTTCACCATTTCTGCAGGAAGGTCGCTGATCAGGAGATTGAAGGTTTTAAGAAGCGTTCTGCTATATCTTAATTGCTGTAGTTCCGAAGTTCACCTTTCCGGGGGCAAGGTCTCTCATCTGGAGATTGCAGGTTCTAAGAACCGTTGAGCCACTTCTTAAATGCTCTTGTCTCCATGTTCACCTTTTCTGCAGAAAGGTCGCTTATCAGGAGATTGAAGGTTTTAAGAAGCGTTGTGCTATATCTTAATTACTGTAGTTCCGAGTAATTTCCGGAAGCAAGGTCTCTCATCTGGAGATTGCAGGTTCTGAGAAGCGTTGAGCCACTTCTTAAATGCTCTTGTCCCCAGGTTCAACTTTTCTGCAGGAAGGTCTTTGATCAGGAGTTTGAAGGTTTTAAGAAGCGTGGTGCTATATCTTAATTGCTGTAGTTCCGAGGTTCACCTTTCCGGGAGAAAGTTCTCTGATCGGAAGATTGTAGGATTTGAGGAGCGTAGAGCCGCCTATTAATTGCTGTTGCTGCCAGGTTCACCTTTCCTGCAGGAAGGTTGCTGATCGGGATTTTGGAGGTTTTGAGAAACGTGGAGCCACATCTTAACTGCTGTAGTTCCGAGGTTCACCTTTTCGGGAGTAAGGTCTCTGATCGAGAGATTGGAATTACTGAGAAGCGTAGAGCAACCTTTTAACTGATGTTTTTCTCAGGTCCACCTATCTCGATGCAAGTTCTCTGATCGAGGGATTGGGCGTTTTGAAACCCGTGGATCCACTTCTTAACTGCTGTTGTTCACAGGTTCACATTCTAGCAACAAGGTCTCTGATCGGGAAATTGGAAATTTTGAGATGCACTGAGCCACACCTTAATTCTTGTTGTTCCCAGCCCCACCTTTCCTGCAACATGTCTCTGACCTGAAGAGTGCAATTTTGAGAAGCGTTTTTCCCAGGTGTACCTTTCCGCCACCAAGGTCTCTGAATAGGGAGTTTGGAGGTTTTGAGGAGCCTGGATCTACATCTTAATTGCTGTTGTTCCCAGGTCGACCTTTCGGCAGCAAGGTCTCTGATCAGGCGATTGAATTTGCTGAGGAGCGTAGAGCCAACTCTATTACTGTGGTTCCCAGATCCACCGTTCCAAAAGCAGTGTCTCTGATCTGGAGATTGAAGGTTTTGAGAAGCTTGGATTCACCACCTTCTGTTGTTCCCAGATCCACCTTTCCGGTAGCATAGTCTCTGATCAGGCGAACGGATTATTTGAGGGAATGGAGCCACCTCTTAACTGCTGTTGTCCCCAGGTTTTCCTTTCCGGCTGCAAGTTCTTTGATCTGGAGATTGGAGGTTTAGATAAGCGTGGAGCCGCATCTTAATTGCTGTTGTTCCCAAGCTCACCTCTCCGGTAGCAAGGTCTCTGGTCCGGCGATTGTATGTGCTGAGGAGCGTTGAGCCATCACTTAATTGCTGTTGTTCCCCGATTAACCTTTCCGACAGCAAGGTCTCTGATCGGGAAACTGGAAATTTTGAGACGCATTGAGCCACCTCTTAATTGATGTTGTTTTCAGGTCCACATATCCGCCAGCAAGGTCTCTGATTGTCAGATTGGAAGTCTTGAGAAGTGTGGATACACATCATAATTGCTGTTCACCTTTCCCGCAGCAAGTTCTCTGATCTGGAGACAGGAGGTTTTGATAAGCGTGAACCACCTCTTAATTGCTGTTGTTCCCAGGTCCACCTTTCCAGCATCAAGATCTTGTTATGGGATCTTACCCATAATAATAATAATGGACTTAATAAATACTGCGCCTCAGGAGTAGGCAAGGAGTCAGTCGATCACTTCTGAACCGACAGTTCGGTTGAACTCTCTGCGGGGAGGAACCCGAACGAGGCTACGCCGAGGGGCGGACTCTCGTTCGGAGAGGTAAACCGGCCCTGACCCCCTTTATATGGGTTCAATAGGCATATTTTTGGGTCGATCCCACGGGCTCGGATAACCCACAATAAATAACCGACATTGTGTCACATGCTGCCCTAGTGGGAGGGTGACTGAATACCACCAGTCGTTCACTTCTGAACCGACTGTTGGGTTGAACTCTCTGCCTTCGGGCGGAGAGGAAACCGAACGAGTCTACGCCGAGGTGCGGAGTCTCGTTCGAGGAGGTAAACCGGCCCGTTTATACGGGTTCAATAGGCATATTTTTAGGCCGAGCCCACGGGCTCCGATATCCCACATTAAATAACCGGCCTTGTGTCACATGCTGCCCCAGTAGGCGGGTGGTTGACTGAATATCGTCGGTCAGTCAGTCGACTGGCTGATCGGTTGAACTCTCTGCCTTCGGGCGGGGAGGAACCCGGAAGAGGCTACGCCGAAGGGCGGATTCTCTTTTGGGGTGGTAAACCGACCCTGAACCCGTTTATACGAGGTCAATGTTTAATTAAAATATTTTTTTTAAGTTAAATACAGATACAGTGGCATTACACTTTGCCGTTTCGTCTTGTACACTAATTATTTGTATTTCAGCTTTAAATAAACAATATTTTAGATATTTAGAAAATATGTTTTGGCATATTTAAACAATATTTTGAAGTGATTATTTTTGAAAGTATTTTTTGTTCATCTTAATACATATAAACTGATTTTAAAATATTTTAAGTAAATAAGATTTAAAAATACGAGTTGGTTATACAGTAAGTAATTTTATTTCAACTTTCTTTAAACAGAAATATTTTTTAATGTTGAAATCAAATCCAATGGACACATAGTGACATAACTGTCCACTGGTAGTCTATTATTTACATAAAAATCACCAAAAAATACATAATTATAGTAAAATTACCAACAATGCATTTTATAGCAAAATGACCAACAATATATTTTATCTGTAGTTGAAGACAGAAAATTGTGTTTAAAATATACTTAGTTGAAGCCGTAAAATTTTATTCAGAATATTTAGATTTCGTCATTAAATAACCCAAAGAGGTCGATATGACACTAAACAAAACCAACCCATCAAATGTTAGGCCAGAAGAATTTCCGTCAGCCAAATTTAATTTTAAAAATACCTATAAATGTACTTTGTTCAACTGCCAAATGTTCATTAATCACTATCTATAAAAGGCAGGGTGTGCGTGCGTGTATGTAACGAATGCACGGCCGCAATTTTCGACGGATTTGCACCAAAATTTAGATGCACATGCTCCAAGTTAGCGGAAAGGCTAAGGCCGACTTTGCATTTCCCAACTCCCATCGATAGTGGAAATAATCAATTTTTTCATACTTCTACGGCAGTTTTCATGTAGTTAGCGGCCATTTTGTACTGGCCAGAATGAGAGCAAATAGCTGGCTGCCACGAATAGGCAGGAAGATTCTATTGGCCAGCGTCAGAGCCAACAGCTGACTGACACGAACATAATTTGATCTCATCCTCGTCGCCAAATTTTGTTGTGGAGTGATTTCACAGTGAAGGCTTGTATTTGTAGCAAGTCGGTCCTAAAATATGTTCGACGTACAAAACGTTAGGAACTTGATATAATAGGTATAACGCAGAGTAATCTAGTTGTGGTCGCTGATACTTTAGTATACGACTACCTGTCGTCCAGCATCGACTGACTCACTGACTGACTGACAGACTCCCACGTTACTCTTACTACTCCTACTTATTATGGGTGGGAGAGTCTATTAACTATAAAATAGGTGTGTTCCACTATAACAAAGTTGGAACTGCGACGAGATTTTGTTCTGATTATCGTATGCAAAAAAAGATTGTTTGGTGTGACCGAGCCGAATAAGATGTCACGTGTCAGACAGGGATTAAGAAGTGCACAAAGATGGCCGTCTGCGATGATTTGTCTTGACATTCCTGCTGTAACCTTTTGAGGCATTGGTTGTGTACGCAGACACTTATATGCTCTGGGGAGAATCAACCAACTCTGTTTAAGATCGATTTTTTGTAGCCACTGGATATCCCACGCACCAAGCACTCTGGTCATCGAAAAGGACATCGCACTCACAACCGAAAGAGAAAATTCATCGCCACAGACTTTGCTGGGAATCCCCCAACAACAAAAATGCTCTATAGCGAGTTACTCTATGACACTTGATTCCACCATAAACCAAGCAGACATTTCAAGTACTGTTTAAAAAAATCTCTTGCAGCTTGCTATATCAAAGATCATGAGTAGGAAATTGTTGCTTGTGATGGAAAGTTGTGCGATTTATGAAGGTACTAAAATATTCCAAGAAAATTCAGTGAGTTGGACAAATGTCAAACGTGCAGCTAAGAAAGGATAAATCAGTGATCTATTTCTTCATTAATGTAGATACGATGAATAGCAGTGATAGAAAAACGCAAATGAAAAATGAAGAAAAGAATTGAGCAAAGGGAAATTAAAGAAATTCAAACAATTAATTCAAACAATTCATTCCAACAATTAAGAAAGAAAGAAAGAAAGTATGAATGAATGAATGAATGAAAGAAGAGAAATAGGAGGAAAAAAATTTAAGGGGGGGGAATATACCATAAATAAATGCAATGGAAAAGAAAGAACGAAAGAAAACAACAAATATCGAAAATAGTTTAAGATTAAAAGATGAAGAAGGAAAATAGGAAAGAAAGATACAAATGTAGAAATGAAGAAAAGAAAACAATTGTAAAGAAAGAAAGAAAGAAAAAAAGAAAATGAAGAAAATTTTTTTGGCATGGAGAAAAGAAATCAAAAAATGAAAAGAAAGAAAGAAAGAAAGAAAGAAAGAAAGAAAGAAAAAGGAAGAAAGAATGAACAAATACCTAAAATAGATGAAAATAAATAAATGAAGAAAGAAATCAAGGCAGAAAGATAAAAATGGAAAATGAAGAAAACTCTTTGGCAACGAAAAAAGAAAACCAAAAATGTAAAGAAAGAAAGAAAGAAAATGAAGAAAATTTCTTTGGCAAGGAGAAAAAAAATCAAAAAATGAAAAGAAAGAAAGAACAAATGCCTAAAATAGATGAAGATAGAAAAATGAAGAAAGAAAGAAAGAAAGAAAGAAAGAAAGAAAGAAAGAAAGAAAGAAAGAAAGACAAAATTGGAAAATAAAGAAAACTTTTTAGCAAGGATAAAAGAAAACAAAAACATAAAGAAAGAAAAGAAGGAAGGAAGGAAGGAAATAAGAAAGAACGGAAGGAATAAAGAAAAGGTTAAATGCCCAAAATGGATGAAAATAAAAAAATGAAGAAAGAAATCAACGAAGAAAGACAAAATTGGAAAATGAAGAAAACTTTTTGGCAAGGAGAAAAGAAAAAAATGTAAAGAAAGAAAGAAAGAAAGAAAGAAAGAAAGAAAGAAAGAAAATGACAATACTGAAATAGAATAAGAAACAAAAGAAAGACGGAAAATGGTGGGAAATTCGCAGAAAGAAAGAAAATTAGGTTCGGACTGATTTTGTTTTGTCTCGCTATATGGGGCGCCTTGATTGAACGCGTGAGTAGGCATGTGTGAGTGTCGAATAGTACAATTATGGCGGAAAGGCCAGAGAATACCGTTGCAATGTATCGTCGTCTAGGGACATCGATGCATCTCGCCCGAAAACGCTTGCCTCTTATCAATCTCCCTTAATACTGTTGTCTAACAGTCAGCGGCCACTTACAAAATCGCCGTCCATTTTAAAGTTGATGATCTGATTGTCAGGGCTTCATTCCCCAGGCGAGGTTTCTGGTTGTCGGGCGATGGGCCATGGTTGGCGGGACCTGGGAAAAGCTGAGCGTCGCTTCTCTTTTCCTCGAGGTATTCTACCGCTGTTGTCTGAACGATGTCCATCGTTTGTTAGGATAGTGAGTAGAGAGATCGACATTGGAAAATAGTTCTTGTCAGGGAACCAATTTCTTTGAGATTTTTGATGCAATTTAAAGCGAAAATGTTTCTTTTTCCCCCTCTTTCAACATTTTAGCGTTATTTTTATTATTATTCATTACTTTTTTTTATCCATCTGTCAAGAAATTTATACATAGGATAATATGCGTTAAGGGTAGTTTTACCCAACACCGCACGATGCTACGTAACCAAAATATTAACTTGAGTCATACGCTTAAATTGCATCGTCAGTTATACACTCTCACGTGGGCGTGTCTGCATGACGCCCAGCTCGTTCATCAATGATTAAAGAAGACAGTCTTTAATCAGATCTTATAAACTGGCGCTACAGAATCACAAACAAAAGTTTTACGAAATCAGAAAAAGATCGCGTCACTTGAAGACTTTCAACACCAGCAACAACTAAAATGGATGGCACTTGTAAACAGAAGCGACAATGATAATATAAACAATATGTTGACTTTCTACACTACATTAAACAAAAAGGTTAGGAAGGAAGGTCACATCAATAAAAGAAAGAGAGATGAAAATTAATGAACAGTTAGCAGTTAATAAGTCTAAGATGTTGAATTTCCACACTACATTAAACAGAAGGTTAGGAAGGAAACTCCCATCGATAAAAGAAAGAGCGATGACAATCAATAAGCCTCCGTCAGTTATGTGTCCTGGGTGATACACGCTTAGGCGATCATGTATCTTTCGATAAATGACTGACGAAGTAGATTTTTTCCTGCATATTTCTTCCCCAGAGAGATAGAAATGATAACGAACATCCTGTTTTTAACGCAAAAGATTTTTACACTTATGACCTTCCTTCGTAAAAATCGCCAATGGCTTAAAATGGTTATCTGCAACGAAAAGTTACAAAATTCAAGAAATATTTGATTTAATTAATATTTATGTGTGGGGTTATGTACGAGAAAATGTGAATGAACAAGTGAAGACGAAACGAAACAAAAATGATTTTAATAAACTTAATTTTCCTCATGACATTCAGCATGACCTTCAAAAAGTCAAACGGGACACGTGGCCCGTCGCCGCAGTGTACCCATAACTTGTTTTAGGCAACAGGAATTTCAATTCAAACACGCCTACGCGTTAAAGATAACCATCCGGGTAACTGGAAATAAATTTGTTTACAAAAAAATCTTCCATTTAAAAATTAATTTCTTTACGTTTCCAGAAAGGAAAGAATGAATGCAAATATAAAATTCTCGATGCCCCAGTGTGAGATGTGCATTAGTTAAGGTAAAAAAGCTTTGCATTAACGTGAATTTGAACCTAGTAGAAAACGTTTCATCATAAAGTGGTGCTATTCCTGATGGAAGAAAAGGACATACAGGTAAGTTTTAGCAAAAAGGGTGGGGCAAAAGGGCGCTCATCCTTTCCTATATAGAAGATTGTTTTACTCACTGCTCTTCCCTCATCCATTCCTGCACGCATAAATAAGCTAACACACACACACACACACACACATACATATATATATATGAAGAAATATATACGGAAAAAAAACAAACAAAAATCCTAATATGCAATTATGCTGTTTTAATGTTAATATAATGTCAACGTCGGACGTTTCGGTCTAGTAGACCCTCTTCAGGACATATTCATAAAACATAATTAACATTGGACTATATTTAATTCAACAATTCTAGCAAGATTAATGCTCGACAAACGTACATATAAGTTTTAGATTAAAATAAAATTCTTTTCATTTTTCATCCAAAATACTATATTTTAGAAATACGTTTTCACAACATCGCCCACGTGACGCCGACGTGATCATATTGAAACAGAATGCTGATCTTGAAAAATTTCAGTTGTTCGTTTTGATTAGTCCATCGTCTTTTCATGTTGAATTAAATATAGTCTAATGTTAATTATGTCTTATGAATATGTCCTGAAGATGGTCTATAGGACCGAAACCTCCGACGTTGACATATATATTATTAAAACAGCATAATATATTTATATTTTTCTTCATACTGTCGGATCTATATATATATATATATATATATATATATATATATATATATATATATATATATATATATATATAAGGAAGTGGTTATAGTAGTTCAATGAGAGATATGTGTGTATATTAGAGAGAGAGAGAGAGACTCTTTATTTCTCTTAGTGACCCAAATGTCTTTCTTGAATTCGAAAGAGAAAGACATTTTGATCACTAACACAAAAAAAGAGAATGTCACATATCGAGAATATTTAACATCGAAAAACATAAAGGGAAAAAAAAACTTAATTATTTTTAATAATATGTGGAAATCTCCACCCTTTGCCTGATGACGGTCGCGAGACCAGAAACCCGTGTAGCGAAATTATGGAAAATAAAGCATAACATTTTAAAAAGAAAATCCACATTACAACCAAAAACGTTTGCGGTTTCTCTATTCTTTTATATATATATATATATATATATATATATATATATATATATATATATATGTCACACATTATGAAAAAAAGAATATATAAACATAAAAATGTCTTAAAATATATATATATATATATTAAAATAATAGCTAAAGCTTAGAGATTTCTGTTTGATGATTGTTGTTACATGAATATATATATATATATATATATATATATATATATATATATGACGTCACACATTATGAAAAAAGAATATATAAACATAAAATGTCTTAAAATATATATATATATATATTAAAAATAATAGCTAAAGCTTAGAGATTTCTGTTTGATGATTGTTGTTACATATATATATATATATATATATATATATATATATATATATATATAAAGAGGTATCTGATTGAGTCATCCGTTTCACTTCTTTCCAGAATGGTCTTAATAGAACAACCTATGGTTGTCAAACCGTTCAAAAGGTGACCTTATATATGCCTACAACACGTGACTGACAAAGACAACCAATCAGCGACCTCCGACCTTCGTTTGCAGCGACCACGCGAAAATACCATAAAAACAGGTTTGTAATTAAGGGAAGGCATCGAAAGGAGCGAACGAAGAAAAGGGAATCAGAAAGGGTTGGGAAGAAAAAAGCGGGGGCGAGGATTTTTTTTTTTTTTTTTTTTTTTTGAGAAAGAAAATAAATGGAAGGAGGAAAAAAAGGACGTTAAAATATTAATGCAAAATACACGGTGGTGTGGGGAGAAATAAAAATGAGGAAGTGAAGGAAAAACAAGAGAGAAATAGTAAGAGAGAGAGAGAGAGTTTATAAGCGAAAAGGAAGTCGAAGGAAAGAATAAAGAAAAGAAGATCGACGAAATAAAAAAAGACAGAAAGGAAAAAGAAAACAAGAATTGAACAAAAATATGAAGAAAATGAGACGTGAAAAAAAGTTGTTTTTTTTTTCCTTCGAAATTATTTTTCATTCAATTATTTAATAGTTTCTGTAATACGCTCATCTGTTTCTTTCTTTCATTCATTCTTTCTTTCATTCTGCCTTCATTCATTCATTTATTAATTCATTTTTTCTTTCTTTATTTGTATTCATATCTTTCTGTCTTTATTATTTTTCATCTTCAATTTATTCCTTTTTTACTCCGTTTATCATCTTTCTTTCTTTCTTTATTAACTTTTGTATTCATTACTTTCCTTCTCATGCTGACTACCATCTTTCTTTTTTCTATCTTTCTATGCTATATTGCTCTCTTAACACCTTCCTTTCTTTCTTTCTCTGTAGTTTCGTTTATTTATTTCTTCTTTTTCTCTAGCTTTATGTCATTTAATCTTCTAATTATTTCCTACCTTCTTACGCTTATCACAGTCTTTCTTTCTTACTTTCTTTTTATTCATTTCTTTCCTTTTTATATTGACTACATTCTTTCATTTTTCCTTCGTCTGTTCACCCCCTTCTTTCTTTCTTTCTTTCTTTCTTTCTTTCTTTCTTTCTTTCTTTCTTTCTTTCTTTCTGTCCTTATTGTCTTTGTATCTTCTATTCACACCCTTCGTTCTTCAGTTCCCTCCATCTTTCTTTCTTTCTTTCTTTCTTTCTTTCTTTCTTTCTTTCTTTCTTTCTTTCTGTCCTTATGTCTTTGTATATTCTATTCACACCCTGCGTTCTTCAGTTCCCTCCATCTTTCTTTCTTTCTTTGATATATTAATTTTTCTTTCTACCACTTCCTATCTTCTTTCTTTATTTCATTCATTCATTCATTCATTATTTCTTTCTTTAATTTTTTCTTTCATTCATTCATTCTTTTTTCTTTCATTCTTCTTTATGCATTCATTTCTTTCTTTCGTTCTTTCATTCTTTATTTATGTACTTCATTCATTAATTTTTCCCTACTTCTTTCTTTGTTCATTCATTATTTATTTATTTCATTCTTTCTTTCGCTCGTTCTTTCATTCTTTTTCATTCTTCTTTCTTTCTTTCTTTCATTCTTTCTTTCTTTCTTCTGTTTTTGTTTATTTTTATCTTCTATTCATTTTCTTCCTTCTTCTGTTTACCGCCTGTTTTATTTCTTTCTATCCTTCTTTATTTCTTTTTTCGTTATTTCATTTTAGATTTTATTCATTTGCCTCCTTCTTTTGATCGCCATCTTGTTTTCTTTATTTCTTTCTTTCGTTGTTTTTTCTGTTTCTTTCTAACTATTATTGATTTCCTTCCTTTCTTCTGTTTGCCACCATTTTCTTTTTTCCCACCTTCTTTGTTTCTTCCTTTTTTCTTCATATTCATGTCGTTCCTGTTGACAATTTTCTTTCTTTTTGCTTCTTCCTATGATCTATTTTTCATTTTCCTTCTTCCGCTTACACACTGTTTTCTTTCATTCTTCATTTTTTATTTCTTTTATACTCTATTCATCGCTTTCTTTCTCTCTCTCTCTCTCTCTCTCTCTCTCTCTCTCTCTCTTAACCTTCATATTTCATTCTAGCATGAGAAATTTCGGTATAAAAAAGTTGAAGGATGAAGTCGAGACAAAAGAATAAGGAAAAAGTAAGAAAATGAAAATCAAAAAGGGAATAAAATTCGAGCTAAGACAATGAAAAGATGCAAAAAGAAAGAAGCAAGAAAAAGCACGAAGAAGAGCAAAGAAATCAAAAATCGAATCGAAATTAAGAGAAAAATCAGAAAATAATAATTTACAAGGAAGAATACGTAGATAAAATTAATGAAAATGATAAAACATCACAAGAAAGAAAGAAAGAAAGAAAGAAAGAAAGAAAGAAAGAAAGGAGAAATTATGAAACAAACAAACAGAAGTTTTGCGAGTTAAGAAAGAAAGAAAGAAAGAAAGAATATAAAGAAAGAAAGAAAGAAAGAAAGAAAGAAAGAAAGAAAATTTAGGAAGACGTATAAATCATTAAGTAACAAAAAGAAAAGAAGAGAAAGAAATGAAAACCAAAGAATGAGAAATAAACGGACTGAAAATATACAAAGAAAGAAAGAAAAAAACGAAGGAACCGAGTAAAAGAAACCAATTAAATTGGACAAAAAAGAAAAAGTAAGAAAGAATGAGGAAAAAGAAAAAAAAGGAGAATATCAGAAAAGAAAGACAATATTATCAAAGATAAAAGGAAAGTGAAAATGAAAGAAAGAAACATTAAAGAAAGAAGGAAATCTAAGAAAACCCACAAATGGAGAGGAACCAACAGAATGAATTGTACAAGAAAATTAAAGAAAGAAAACAGGAAAGAAGGAAGGAAGGAAAGAATTAAGGAAAACGAAAAAGAAAGGAAGAAAGAAATAACGAACAAAAGAAAGAGGAAAAAGAAATTAAGTAAAAAGAACGAAGTAAAAAACAAAAGAAAATTTGATAAAAGAAAAAAGAATGAGCAATGATGAAAGAAGGAAAGTGATGGAACGTGGGAAAGAAGAAAAAAGGAAAGAGCAAGGAATAAATAAACTTGGAAAGAATGAAAGTTCATATTGCAACTATATTGTTATCATTGGTTTTCTCTGTCACTCCTTATTACTGGCTCCCATATTGTATTTATCTCTATGCTTGGTCGGCTCAGGAGATTTTTGTGGCCTAGAAAGAAAGAAAGAAAGAAAGAAAGAAAGAAAGAAGAAAAAATCTGATTATAAGAAGCGGAAAGAAAGAAAGAAAGAAAGAAAGAAAGAAAGAAAGAAAGAAAGAAAGAAAGAAAGAAAGAAAGAAAATCTGATTATAAGAGGCGGAAAGAAAGAAAGAAAGAAAGAAAGAAAGAAAGAAAGAAAATCTGATTTTAAGAGGCGGAAAGAAAGAAAGAAAGAAAGAAAGAAAGAAGAAAATCTGATTATAAGAGGCGGAAATAAAGAAAGAAAGAAAGAAAGAAAGAAAGAAAGAAAGAAAGAAAGAAAATCTGATTATAAGAGGCGGAAAGAAAGAAAGAAAGAAAGAAAGAAAATCTGATTATAAGAGGCGGAAAGAAAGAAAGAAAGAAAGAAAGAAAGAAAGAAAATCTGATTGTAAAAGGTGGAAAGAAAGAAAGAAAGAAAGAAAGAAAGAAAGAAAGAAAGAAAGAAAGAAAATCTGAATATAAAAGAAAGAAAGAAAGAAAGAAAGAAAGAAAGAAAGAAAGAAAGAAAGAAAAAAAAAGGGCATCGCCGGATATGAGAAGGCAGAGGACGGGTGCACAGAAGAAAAAAGGAAATACAAAGAGAAAAAAAGGAAAAAAAAAAAAAGAAAAGAGAAAGATGAAACCGAAAGAGAAGAAAAAGAAAAGAAAGCTAAATATTAGCTTGGTGCAAAAATAATGACGTAATAATGTCGTTTTTTGACGTATTTTTAACGTCAATAAACGACATTAGTCCGTCATTATTTTTGCACCAACCTAATAATAAAAAAAGAAATTGAAAAGATGAAGAAAGACAGAGGGAAGACAGAGGAAACTCACGCTATATAAAGAAAGAGAAAACAGTAAAGGAAGCAGAAGTAATCAAGACAGATGAATAAAAGAAAAAATTCAAGATGAAGGAAAGGAACTAAAGATATCGAGATGAGAATGCGATGGTAAAATAATGGGATTTCAACCAGAGTTACGTCCCCTGGATAGACATTGTCCTTTTGCAAGTAAACATGATTTCACCATTTATCATTTTCTTGTTTTTATCCCCATTCCACACTTAGGTTTTCCCCTGTCATATTTTATTCACGTCTTTTCTATTCATTTTTTTTAACTTCTCATTTTAGCTTCATCTTTATTGAGGAGTGGTCGTTCTTTCACAAATTTCATTTCCAGAAAATTTGCCTTTTTTTTTAACTGATAAGGCTTTAATATTTTAGCTCCAACTTTTCGTGAAATGGTGATCCAGAATGAATCAAGGTATGTGTTGTTGGAGTAATTCAGATCTTCAAGCATTCTTAACTTACAAAAAAATAGTCTGTATCCCTGTGGCATTGTTCTTTTCTTTCTTTTAGTTTGTGTCGTGTCCTTTCAGGACTTGGGTGATCATGGCTTTTCATGTAAACAAAAAGGACACATTATTTACATTATTCGGACTATTGTCCTCATTTTTTCGCGATATCTATCACAACGTTTCGGCTGTTGTACGCTCCGGCCTTCTTCAGGTGGTTGCAATGTCGAACACCAGAAAGCTGTAACGTGAGGGAAAATAGAAAAATCAGGTGTGGCTGACCACATATGGAGAGAGAAGGGAGATCACCGCCCTCTGTGGGATCATGTTGAGATCATTGACAAGGAACAGCATTGGAAAATTCGTAAACTTAAAGAATCAGCACATATGCTAGGCCACAAAAATCTCCTGAGCTGACCAAGCATAGAAATAAATACAATATGGGAACCAGTAATAAGGAGTGCCAGAGAAAAACAATGATAACAATATAGTTGCAATATGAGTACTGGTAAAAATGTTTGCTGAAGACATTATATAATTTATAATACCCAGAAATTCACACTCAGATGTCCTCAAGGACACATGGCACAGTGGATAAAGGCGTTGTTAGATCCAGTGACAGGACCTAAAGTATGAGTTCAATACCCGGTTAAGACAGTGGAGAACTTTCAGAGGGAAATTAACAGGAAATAACTGATAACTGACATCCATTAAACATGGCACGTGGAACTAGAACAGTCTACCCCAGTGAGCGAAATAAAGGGTTCAGTTCGGCATTCCAACCACCTGAAGAAGGAGCTTACAACGGCCGAAACGTTGTGATAGATATGGCGAAAAAGATGAGGACAATAGTCCGAATAATGTAAATAATGTACATAATACCTCATCTCAGAAATATAGACATAGATAAAAAGGACACATATACACATAATCAGAAAAAGGCGCATAACGAGGAAAGGGAGCTTTGAGAATTCGACACGCACAAGACATATCGAAATCAAAAGGAACAACGTGAAAGCAGTCGTACAACTACTCGGTGGGAAGGGGCTTGTGTGAATAAATTGTGCAAAAGCAGATGAGTGGAATAGAAAAAAGGAAAAGGCCATACAGGCCCTCTATTGGTATATAATGATGCTGACCATGTACAAGAGCCACTCGAGGTAGAGGGTACATTATATGGAGATATGTGGGGAATATAATGGCTGTCCCAAGACTTGACTGGATTAAAGCTGTAATGATCGGGGAAGCCACTCTTGGGAGTTGGTTCCATTACGTAACTGTTCGTGTGGAATTTGCACCTTACCAATAGAAGACAAACGGAATGAGGGAGCTTTATTAAAAAGAGGCGCATAACGAGGAAAGGGAGCTTTGAGAATTCGATACTCACAAGACGTATCGAAAGCAAAAGGTACAAGGGGGAAATCAGTCGTACAAATACTTGAGGAGTTTGTGTGAATGGGTTGCGGAAAGACAAATGTGTGGAATGGCAAAAAGGAAAAGATCACAGAGACCCTCTTTTGATATCTAATGATATTGACCCTGTAAAAGAGTCACTCAAGGTAGAGGGTTACAAAGTAAGGGAAACAGTTTGTGTAGATATGTTGTGAAGATAACGGCTGTTCAAAGACTTGACGTGGTTAAAAATGTAATGACCGGGGAAGTAGACTCTTTGGGGTTGGTTCCATTAAGTAACTGTTCCCGTCGAACTTACATATTTACAATGGAATACAAATGGAATGAGAGTGATTAAATATACATATTTATATTTATATATGTATAAAAGATTACAGAGACCTATTGCACTGCAAAACCCATTGTTACACACACACACACACACACATATATATATATATATATATATATATATATACCAACGGCTTCCCATACCCCATATTTAACACTTCTCGTTTTCACTCTCGCGTCGTGACGTCATGACTTATACACGAGTTTGTCATTGCTTGGAAATATTTAATGCAACAAAAACAGACTATCATTATTGTCCGTGTATTGTTTAATATATTGAAATGTAATTGTCATCTTTGATAATGACTCATGTAAGCCGAAAGCTTAGATAGGATTAAAACCATGTAGCAATATGGTGATTTTCTTTCATCTTTCAATGATAATGTTATTAAGCTTATCAGACAATATGAAAGGAATTTACTTAAAATAAATAGACAAAACTTGTCTGTATTATTTAATGAAACATGCATCAATATATATATATATATATATATATATATATATATATATATAGAGAGAGAGAGAGAGAGAGAGAGACGGGGTTCTATAGCCTTGGATGGCAACTGGTCTACGGAAAGGACAACTCTGAATTCTAAACCTGCGGGGTACGTTTGGCGAACTTGTGGCACGTAGTGCCCCAATTCTCTTCAAAAAGTGTGAATGGTTCGGAATAAAGCGTTCACCGGTATAATCAAATCATATGTGCTGGTGTCTGGGCTGTTGGTTCCTCGGAACTGAGCTGCTTGACACTCATACGTCGAACACGACGGGAAGGTCCAGCATATATATATAAGAAAAAGTGTGCATCTTTATTTCACGTAAACAACTGATGATTTAAACTCGACATAAGTATAGGAAACACGGAATTTTACGCTTGAGCTTGCTTCCACAGATTACAAAGCAGCAGAAATGTGGTTTCTAAGAAGAATTCTTCTGATAGAACTTTTTGTCTCTTTCCTTACTTCGCCATTTTCTGTAAGTGTTGCATAATATTGGAACAATTACGCCAATCATTTTTTTTTATTATTATTATTATTATTATTATTATTATTATTATTATTATTATTATTTCCTTTGATTTCGGGTGTGTACCAATTTCTATCCGGGCCCCGACCGAAGACCTAAGGTCAAAAATGGCATCAGGACTTTTCTACTGAGCAAAATATAAAAAATTAAAAAAAAAACAAAACAACAAAAAACAAACAAAAAAACAACGCATATTTTACATCGATAAAGCCCTTCGTAAGGTGTGGGCTCTACCCCTGAGAACAACTTTTTGAATTACTTTAAGCATGGGGTTCCAGGAATCCTTTATTGAGTCTACTGGAATCTTTTTCCAATCAATCCGAGGGATTCAACTACAAAAGGGATTTTTGATATTCTCATATGCCACATTTTTGACATTTCGATTTCAAGGTCCTTGTATTTTGACAGCTTTTTGAAGATCTTCAAAGATATCTTGCAGTCTGCAGGGACTGCCATATCAAGAACAAAGAATTTTTTGTTCGCGGTCTCTAATAACAATGTCTGGGCGATTAGCTTTTATTGTTCTGTTTGTGTGAATTGTGTAGTCCCATAAAATTGTTATAGGTCCTGTTTTCCCTGTTAAAACTGTTAAACGTAGCCGTCTCTTCTACTCCAATAGCTTCATATCTCGCAACTCTCGCCTGTGGAACTCCCTTTCCTATTCCTGTTTCCCTGATAGGTATAATTTCCAACTTTTCAAATATAATGTCAATCGACATTTCCAGTTGCCTTGATCTATCCACTACCCTTCTGCTCAACCTTTCCTCTATCATTCCTACCTGCTCTCGCTCCAAATCCTCTATAACCCCTTGTGTGCTAGTGGCTTCCCCCCTTGCTAGGGATGAAATGCTTAAAAAAAGGGGGTATACGCCCTTGTGCAAATTAATTGAAACAAAAAGAATAATTCCTTTACTATTTAATCTATTTTCGTATTTTCCAATGAAACATGACCCGGTGCACATGTTAGTACTTCGTACGTCCATTCCACGAAGACAGTCCTGACTGACCACGGATTCTTGTTTGGATTTAAATCAAGAGAGTTTTCAGGCCAGTTTATAGTACTTTCTTTTGCTCACTGGTAAGGTTTGCCAGAGTTACAAGTTTCGTACGCTTTCTTGCAGTAACGTTCCATGCAGTCGATGACCGTAGGACAACTAATCAACAATCAAGACAATAGTGTCTGGGCGTGATAAAAATCTGATGCAATCACGGATGACGCAATATTTTTGAAGGTCAAACAAATTTCAACACACACCTCGAAAATAGATTTATATTACTGCACACCGCTGCAAATGACCTAATCTGAAGAAAAATAGAAATGGATTACCCCCGGCCACTCCAGTGGGTTTATAATTGACCGTATGGGGGAAAAAAGGAAACTAAAGCGGTTGTTTCAGTTAATTTGCACAAGGATATATGTGGAAGTTGTTTCTGTCACATCTTGTACAATAAAACGTAAATACTTAACGTTGCTACCCATAATGCACCATTTAACATTACATGTGATTTTCCCCATAAAAACAATTCCTTAGGTCCTTTCTCTCTTTTGAAACCTTTTCTACTGTCTTAGAGGTTTACTGTTATACTGGGTGCGGCAGAAATACCTCCCACATAAACCTCCCAGAAATACCACTCACATCATGGTAAGATATTAGTATCAATGTTGTCTTCATCTATCTAATCTTAACATTAAGTGGGTGTAAATTCTGAGAGGTATATGTGGGAGCTATTTCTACCGCAACATCTATCTATCTATCTATCTATCTATCTATCTATCTATCAATCTATCTATCTCAGTCTGTTCATATCTATCTCAGCCTATTCATATACATTTCTCTCAGTCAATCTCTCTCTCTCACCTCCCCCATATATATATATATATATATATATATATATATATGTGTGTGTGTGTGTGTGTGTGTGTGTGTGTGCTAATTCTGCGAGGTATATGTAGGAGTTATTTCCACCGCAACATCTATCTATCTATCTATCTATCTATCTCCGTCTGTTCATATCTATCTCAGCCTAATCATATACATCTCTCTCAGTCAATCACTCTCTCTCTCTCTCACTTAGATATAGATATATATATATATATATATATATATATATATATATATATATATATATATATATATGTTAATTCTTGAGAGATATATGTAGGGAGTTATTCCTACCGCAACATCTATCTATCTATCTATCTATCTCTATCTATCTCAGTCTGTTCATATCTATCTCAGCCTATTCATATACATTTCTCTCAGTCAATCACGCACACACACAAACAACCAACCCACCCACACACACACACACACACACACACACACACACACACACATATATATATATATATATATATATATATATATATATATATATATACCGGTTGTAACAGCAGAATTGTCCATCCTTCAAAATGTTTAATATCTAAAATCCACTAACCATTTTCTTTTTTCCATGTTTTCAGATAAGACGATTAACCACCGTTTGTCGTGAGAATCCCTAATAAAACCCTAAATTCTTCAGCTCGAAAGAGAACAGATTCAAATTCTTTTTGTGTCCGTCCCACTATATTCCCAACTGAGCAATGGTGAGAGGAAAAAGATCATACAGGCCTTCAGTACTTGTACCCGCATTCATAGGCTGGTTTCCATCTTCAGTCCATTCAAGAAGCATCTAGAGAACGGTGCATAAGTCTGAAAAAGCGCGAATATTAGAGAGGAAAACTGGATCAGGTGGTCCCAACCGGAAGAGGGATCATCATTTCAATTTAGAGCTAATCATAAAATTTAAACTCAATCCATGAGAGATTTGGCACGGGAGAGAGAGAAGAGTTTCACCTACAACAATCCAAAGAGCAATGAAAAAAAGATTTGAATATGAAATGGTATGTGATGCTCTTTGTTATTTCAAGACATAAATTTGGTGCTTAGAGAGGGCGAAGATCATCTTAAATAATATGTGTGTGTGCGTGTGTGTATGTGTTTGAAACTTATTACAGTCGTCGATTCCATCCTTTAGTGATCATTAATTAATGACGAATATGTCATTTTCGTTTATGATCGATTTCTTCAGAATAAATCTGTTAAACTAGGTGAGTAATTATACATTCTTATTGCTCAAAGCGGAGTGCAATAATGTTATAAAAATCTCGGAGAATTCCAGTAAGATATCTTTAACCATTTCTAAGATGCAACAGTTCAAAGCTTAATCTAATAATTGGAAAATTTTTGGTGTTACATGATTTGAACAATTTTGGTACCTTATGCACCTATATATATATATATATATATATATATATATATATATATATATATATATATATGGGAAGAGATTA